GAACTCAAACTGGGACTTGGTGATAACCTAGAGGGGTGGTATGGGGAGGGAGGTGGGGGGGATGTTCAAGTGGGAGGGGACATGTGTATACCTATGGCTGATTCATGTTGATGTCTGGTAGAAACCAATGCAATACTGTAAAGCAATTATCCTTCAATTAAAAATAAATTTAAAAATACTTCATTGCTTAAAAAAAATGCTAACCATTATCTGCCACAAAATTTCAAAGTTGTAAAAATACTGTATCTTCAAAGCACAATAAAGCAAAGTGCAATAAAACAAAGTATGTCTATATATTATTAATGAATAATTAGAAATTGAGATTTTTTTAAAAGATCACTCTAAAAACTAAAAAGCACTGTTTAAAGAAATTTTAAAAACTAAATAAATAGATAAAATGTGTTGTTCATGGATAAGAAGAGTCAATATCATTAAGAGACTAATTTCCCCCCAATTGACCTACAGATTCAATGGAATCACAATAAAAACCCTAGGAGGCTTTTTGGTGGAAATCTAGAAATTCCATCATAAAAACAGTATTCAGATCACTAGGAAACAATAGATTATATATTAATAACAGCAATTAAGGCAAATTTTAAAAATTAAATAATCACAAGAAATTAGGACTGTAAGAAAGCTGAGCACCAAAGAATTGATGCTATTGAACTGTGGTGCTGGAGCAGGCTCTTGAGAGTCCTTCGACTGCAAGGAGATCCAACCAGTCCATCCTAAAGAAAATCAGTCCTGAATATTCTTTGGAAGGACTGATGCTGAAGCTGAAACTCCAGTACTTTGGCCACCTGATGAGAAGAACCGACTCATTGGAAAAGACCCTGATGCTAGCAAAGATTGAAGGCGGGAGAAGGGGACGACAGAGGATGAGATGGTTGGATGGCATCACTGACGTGATGGACATGAGTTTGAGTAAGCTCTGGGAGTTTGTGATGGACAGGGAAGCCTGGCGTGCTGCAGTCCATGGGGTCGCAAAGAGTTGGACATGACTGAGTGAACTGAACTGAAACAAACAGAAAATGGTATCTAAAAAAATTAAATACCTGGGGATAAGATTTAAGAAAAGATGTGAAAGATCTCTAGAGGGATAATTATAGATTCAATGCAATCCCAAACAAAACTGGTGGAATGCAACATGCTTATTCTAAAATGTTTACATAAATGTAAAGGAGATCAGTCCTGGGTTTTCTTTGGAAGGACTGATGTTGAAGCTGAAACTCCAATACTTTGGCCACCTGATGCAAAGAAGTGACTCATTTGAAAAGACCCTGATTCTGGGAAAGATTGAAGGCGGGAGGAGAAGGGGATGACAGAGGATGAGATGGTTGGATGGCATCACCGACTCGATGGACATGTGTTTGAGTAAACTCCGGGAGTTGGTGACGGACGAGGCGGCCTGGTGTGCTGCAGTCTATGGGGTCGCAAAGAGTCAGACATGACTGAGCAACTGAACTGAACTGAACTGATGTTAACTTTTACTGCCTAAATTGTCCATTAACTCACCTGGGGGAAGATTCCCTTCTAGAATGCTCATTCAATAGGTCTGTCTTCATAGTTTGTCCCTTACTTTTAAAAAAATCTTTGCACAAGTGTCACCTAAGACTTCTTTCCAATTTACCTGTATAAAATGGCACACCCAATACTTTCACTTTTTCCCAACTCCGTGTTTTCATAACATCCATCATCTGACAATATTTTAATATATGGGTGTATGTTTATTATTTATGCCACTTTCCTGACTATAAGCTTGCTGAAATCAGAGAATCTGGTTATTTGGTATAATGCTATATCTCCAGATATACTTTCTTCGTTGAATGAATAAATAAATTGGCAGAAGTCACAAACATTCTGACTGGCATAGGAAATGTAGTGACTCCATTTGAACTAAACGTATAAACTGTAAACTCCCCTTCACTATTTATCTGCTAAATGATGGCTACTAAAATACTATAACTCTCCCCAGATTTAGAATACTATTTTGGGCTTCCAGAAACAACCAATATGTAAATAATGGCTTTATACTTAATTAAGAGAAATAAATGAAACAAGCCCATTAAAAGAGCCATATAAAATGTACCTCTGAGAATCTTAACTGACTCTAAAATTGGCAAAATGATAGAAGTTTAGGTATTTTGCTCATGTTATGTATGAATTAACATACTCTGATGGTTTTCAACATGTATCTTATCCTTTGGTAATCTTTTTTTATTTTTTATTTTCTAATTGAAATATAGTCTACATACAATATTATGTTTCAGGTGTACTGTATAGTGATTTGACATTTACATACACTACAAAATCATCACTATGATGAACCTAGTAACGATCTCTCTCCATAGTTATTGTAATAGTATTGACCATATTCTTTATGATGTATATTACCTCTCTAGGGCTTATTTATTTTACAACTAGAAGTTTGTCTCTCTTAATCCTCATCACCTGTTTTGCCCAAACCATCCTTCTTCCTCAAAATCTGGCAACCACCCATTTGCTCTCTGTATCAATGAGTCTGTTTTCTTAGTTTTCACATACAAATGAGATTGTATTTGTCTTTTGACTTATTTCACTTAGCATAATACTCTGTATATCAAGTTGTTGCAAATGACACAATTTCATTTTTATGGCTAATATTCCATACACACACACACACACACACACACACACACAGAGGTATCTATACCCAAATATACACAGACACATATCCATATATCACATCTTCTCTATCCAGTTACCTACTAACGGACACTTGGATTGTTTCCACATCTTGGCTACTGTAAATAATGCTGCTATGAACACAGGGGTGCATACATCTGAAAAGTGTTTTTGGTTTCTTCAGAAAAATACCCAGAAGTGGAATTGCTGGATCATTTGGTAATTCCATTTCCAATTTTCTGAGGGGCCTCCGTACTGTTTTCCATTGCGGTTCTACCAATTTACATTCTCACCAACAGTACAGGAGGGTTCCCTTTTATCCACATCCTTGCCAATACTTACTTGTTTTTTGATAGCAGCCATTCTGATAGGTGTGAGGTGATATCTCCTTGTGTTTTTAATTTGCATTTCCTTAATTATTAGTGATATTGAGCGTATTTTCACTTGCTTTTTGGCCAGCTGTCTTTTCTGGAAAAATGTTCATTCAGGTCCTCTGCCAATCTTTTAAATGGAATTTTTTTTTATATTGGTAAGAATTTGATTTGATATTTGATATTCAGTAGGCTGCCTTTTCACATGGTAGATGATTTTGTTCATCTTGCAAAAGCAAGTGGGTTTGACCTGGGCTCCTTTAGAATTTCTCCCTCTGCTCTGGGACTTGGAGTATGTTGAGATTTTGCACGTGCCCTGTAGGAGCACCCCGTCCCACCCCACCCCCCAGCTCTCAAAGGTAAGCCCAGTTTTTCAGAAAGGTAAGCTCAGTTTTTTAGCCTGTTTTTAAATCCCTGACCAGATGTCCTGAGGGCTCATCTTTCCAGTGCAGAACTCCCAGACTAGGAGCCCAGCATGGGCTCAGACCCCCCTCGCTCCTTGGGGAGACCTCTGCATGTGTGAGATTCTTCTGATTTGCGGTCAAGGACTTGGGGGTGTGAGTCCGGACTATACCAGTCTCTCCCACTCCTAGGCATCTTGTTGTGGCTCCTTCTTTGTATCTTTAGCTGTAGAGTCTCTTTTCTGCTAGTCTTTAGGTGGTTTCCATAGATAGGTACTCTGTAAATAGTTGTTATTGTGGTGTACATGTGGGAGGAGGTGAGATTGGAGTCTTTTTTCTCCATCATCATGAGGAACCTTTCCAAAACTTATATTTAACTGGAGAATATGCTATGGAAAATCTTTCATATTTACAAATTAACCTGATTTCTAGCAAAAGAATGAATTGTGTAAATTTAACAGAAAAAGCTAATTTGCACATGTAAGAGAATTCAGGTAAACTGGTAGCACACACAGTGACCAGTATATATGATCATAATCAGCGTAGTCTCTATCATGTGATTTTCCCCACAGGCCTTAGAGAAGTGAAGTATAAATTTAGGGTCTTTAAAAGATCCTGATGAATTAAGTGAAAAAGTGAGAGTGTTAGCACTCAATCGTGTCTGCCTCTTTATGACCCCACTGACTGCAGTCCACGAGGGTCCTCTGTCCATGAGTTCTCCAGGCAAGAATATTGGAGGTGATGACGTACGGCCTGTCTTAATTCTGGAGTATTCTCTCATGCTATGGTAGCCCAAGGCTGAGCTCCAGGGGAATCGGACTTGGTCCTTAACTGACCCAAGTTTGATGGAACTCCTGAAGTCAACTGAAAAGTTAAGACCATTTTTAAAGTGAGGCTGAGGTGGTACTGGCTGGGTACAACCAGGAGAGGGGATGGGGCGAGCTGCACACACAGGTCCTGATGCAGCACTGCTTTTGCTGTATTCCTCCTAAGATCATTTAGCTTTCCATTTAATCTTTAGTCTTTTATGAAATGTCAAGAAGGGTGTCACCGTATTCATACATATTACTTTCATGACGTATTAACTATGTAACAGGAAAACAGAAAAACCATCTATGTATTTTATAGAGGTTGTAAGAATACAAAGTGTTTCACTACAATTATTAGCTTGAATTTAACTGACTATAGTTTCATAACCTAATGTCGCAAAGGTAGGATCTCTTCAAAGTTAAGATCTTTTTACTTTTAAGATGAGGATTTATAAAGCTTCTCTCTTCATAATTTAGTAACAGACCTAATTACTTTCCAACCAACCAATCTACTTAAAAAAAAAAAAAAAAGAAATTCTGTGTATGAAGAAAGCAGCTTCTTTCTGAAGGAAGGCAGGTCTTTGACATGAAGAAAGGATACTTTCAAACACTGTTTGTTGAGAACTTCAGCAGATGCCACCCTCTGGGCTGAGACTAGAATGTAGAATCCTCTCAGTGGCTTGCAATGTTTATGAATTTTCCACACGACAAATTAATGTTCCTGTTCTTATAAAAACGCCTGTGCACAAACCATACAGCAGTGATACATTAGTATTTACATTTATTTCATGTATGCAGTTTACACACTCACTACTGAACAAAATTGGAATGCAGACAAATATACACATACCATAATAAGCATTATCAAATAAAATAACTGGCACTAGTGTTATAAGCATATTAATGGGCCTGGTGAGAAAAGTGATGAGAGAAGACTGCAGCCCATGGCATTTTTCCTTTTATCAAAAGAAAACGCTTAGTAGCACCATAATGGTAATACTTAATAGAAACATATAAGATGGAATATTTTAACTGCTAATCACTGAGGTGAGCCTGTTTTATTTAAGTGAATTATACTGGAAGTTAACAGTATAGGCAATATTTTGGCCAACTTTTGTTTATGTCAGTTAAACATCTTCCATAAACAAAAGCAAAGGAAAATAAAGCCAGCCATACACGGACCCCTCCTTAGTACTTGGTACAAACTCTGCGCCATGCTTTGATTTCATGATTGGAGAAGATATGTGCTATAAAAACTGAGGTTATGTAGTTATTCACTAAAGCCTGAGTGTGTCTTTGGTAGGCTAATAATTTTTCAGCATTGTTACTATAATTATATTGATGTTTCTCTATCCTGTATTTTTCTACATAATCCAAGGTGACTAAGGAGGACTTTATGGAAAACAATACAGCAGAACTCTCAGACAAGTAGGCCCTTAAAATCCAGTCTATTCCCAAGGCACCAGGGATCAACAGGGTGCAAAGTTCCCCTTTGGGAAAGGTGACTTTTTGTAATACTTATAAACTAATGAAATTTTATTTTGCAGCTTTGTATATCTTATTTGGTGCTGTCAGTATACTTAATTACCTACTTTTACACTTGTCTTCTAAGATGGCAACAATATACAAGCTAAATAGAGTACCAGGTATTCCTATTTCAAAGTTGTGCAAACTGCCACAATCTTGCTCAAGGTGTCTAAGTATCCACATGGTAGCAATTGGGCTGCGTTAGCTGTATATATCCACACTGCATATGAAGAAGAGACGAAATTTATGCCCAGTGATGAACAGAAATGTTACAAAGAATATCATATACTGAGAATAACCTGCAAGGTTCTTTAAACAGTATCCCTTAGTGGTTTCAATAAAATGTCACTAACCACTTATCCCTAAGCCTCAAGTTCTCTTCCTAAGAATGCTGTAGAACTGCATTAGTACTTTATATTGATTATAAATTAAGCCAAATTTCTATCTAAATACACAAGTATGTGCTTCAAGCACTGATTTCTGGCAAACACACAAAACATAATTCTCTTAAGAATTATTGTCCTTACGATAATGCACTTTAAAGCTTTCATTTCATAGTTTGGTAATTAAGATCCACGTGAAACACAACGCTTTGCTGAACACAGAAAACGTATCTGCATTATGATTATGTCACCCGGCCTGTGCTGGCAACTTGAAACTTAAAACAGCCATCTGTAGTTCAACCAGCTCCAAACAAGGTTTTTCAAGTGGTAATTACTTTGCAGCATGTATAGGTCTATATATCAGTCTGAATTGCAACTTTTAATTCCATTGTCTGATGTGAGTGGTTGTTATTTGTTTCTTTTAGCGCACTGCCAAAATATAAATCAACACTGGGTTTTATTCCACTGTTACCATGTTCTTCTGCAGTATGATTCAACTGTGGAACTTCTGAACATGAAGCAGTTTGGGTAAGCACAGAAATGCTACACTGATGGGGGGAATTTTCCAGTCGGTCATTTTCTACCTCAGGAAGAATATTAACAGTAGCAAACCGGGCATGGTAATCAGTGGAACCATGACTACAAGAAGTTTTCATGCTTTCTAGGTCAGAACAACTAAATTCAGAGAAGTGACTAGAGTGGGAATCTGCTACGGACGGCATACTGTCACTGAGCGACGGAGCCTCAAATTCACTTGAGTTCGTGCTTTGCTGTTCTAACAACTGTGCGTCCATGTCCTCTCGGGTCTCGTTTATCTTCATGTTACTCTTTTTCCTCAATTTACCACTTTTTGATTTCTTTCCTGCTGCTGCTTCTTTGGACCACTTGGTGGCGCTGGACTTGCTGTCAGGCAAGCCACCGGAGGAGCCCCCAGGCTGGCTCCGGGAGGCGCCGCCATCCTCCACGCTGCTGCCTCCACTGTTGTGCCTGAACTTGGACGGCTTTGATTCAATATCCACTTGGACCTCCATACTGTTGCCTTCTCTGGAACATAAGTGAAACAAATACAAATTTCTGACTTCCTCTTTTTTTTTATTAAATGCAAATGCATCAAAGGGGGAGGGTTTCTGGGTGAAAATATCAAAGACTGTATAAAAGCATCGGAACAAATTAATGCAGGATACATTTTACTAATCGAAAAAAGCTCCTTGAAATTAGAGAACTGTCTTTATAACAATGTTTCAATTAAGGGGAAAAAAAAGCAACTACGATCACTTCTTACACTGTTCCAGGTACTGTGCTTACCTTCTCCATTTTTTTTCCAGAACAGTTGTAATGAGAGAGAATTTGCATATCACAAATTCACCTGTTTAAAGTACACAATTCAGTGGTTTGTAGTATATTCACAGTTGTCCAACCATCACCATGATCGAACTCCAGAACATTTTCATTGTCTGCCAAAGAAGCCCTGTACCATAAGCAGCCAGTTCCCATCCTCCCCCTCCCCTCAACCCTGAGCAACCACTAATCTACCTTCTGTCTCAATGGATCTGCCTGTTCTGGACATCTCTCACCACTTTCATTTTTCAGAGAACCTAACAGTAGAGATAACTATTATTTACCATAATTCTGCTTAATGATAGGAATATAAATTAATCTAAAACTACTTTGACTTTACAACAACTTTTTCCTTACTTGTCCAGTGGGATGTAGGAATTCAGAATGGATCCTGCCATTGCCTTGGTGCTGGCATTATCACTAACTGTCCCCAAGCTGACTGTGCCGGACTCTCCACTTAGACTGTACCGTTCTTTCTGTACATCTGCTTGGACTTCCAACCTTAAAAAGAGGGGTATCAGAAAAAGACCAAAATTACACATAATATCAGCACTACTATGGGAAAGCTTATCTTCAAATAATTCAGTAACAAGAAGCTAATTTAGAGACAACTATAAGCATTTTTTTGAGTTTCCTTTTACTTGATTATTCAAATTCTATTGTAGCACACTGAATAGTACCAGTCATCTGAATAAAATGGGAAAATTAGCTGTCTGGCAAGTAAGGTAGTAACAGAGTAATAAGAATAGAATATAAAGGATTTTAACTTAAACATGCTCCATTATTCTCACTTAGGGTGTGGCAGTCTGCTTCCCCTGCTGCTGCTGCTGCTAAGTCACTTCAGTAGTGTCCAACTCTGTGCAACCCCACAGATGGCAGCCCACCAGACTCCGCCGTCCCTGGGATTCTCCAGGCAAGAACACTGGAGTGGGCTGCCATTTCCTTCTCCAATGCATGAAAGTGAAAAGTGAAAGTGAAGTCGCTCAGTCGTGTCCAACCCTTAGCGACCCCATGGACTGCAGCCCACCAGGCTCCTCCATCCATGGGATTCTCCAGGCAAGAGTACTGGAGTGGGGTGCCATTGCCTTCTCCTCTGCTTCCCCTATTTCAGTGCAAAACACCAAACCTGAGTACATTAAAAAACATTCTAAGATCAATGAATCAAAAAATTCTGGGCATCTGTATACTAAAAATGGTTCTAAATTTAACACCTGACTCTCAAAAAAATAATAATATATACCACTATAACTTAAGAGTTTGTGTTTAAAAGCACACTACCTAAAAATAACTCTTTTAATTTCATGTATTTTCCCCTACATTAAAAAAACCCCTAAAGCTAATAAACAAAAGAAAAATGAATTAAAGAGGAAACAAGAGACTAAAACGCTTAACTTATCCTACTTATCTATATGGCTTTTGGTAAAAGACTTTGTGAGAATTAAATAACCATTAATATAGAACAGGGCCCAGGCAGACTCCTTGGCCTCAGCCCATGCACTCCCGACATCCTGACACCACCTGTCCCCTCAGGCTTCAGCCAGCGTCTCATTCGCGAACATCCAGCTGTGGCTGGCTACCTCCCAACAGATCTAAGTCCAGGCTTAATCAGCGCCTTTATGCGTTCAGCAGAGAAGCTCGAGCACTGACCCATAAAATCTGACAAGTGCAGTGAACAGAAAAATGGCCCGTTATCCCCAAAGTTTGGTTTTCACCTCATCAGATCTCCTGATTCACTGTTTGCCACGAAATTTCATTTTCTGAAACCTTAAAACTTACTTGAAACCTTACTGTTTTCAACCCTGACACAGCAGGATTATATGTAGTCATCGTGCTTTGTGTTCAAAATTCTCATCTAATTAGTTCGTTAAAACAAAACAAAACAACGCACAGGTTTCTTACCTGTTGAAACAGTTCACCATGGCACTTCCCGACAGGCTCCCTGTGATACTGGCTCCAGCGAGCGCCATGGTGCTGGCCGTCTCACTCAGGTTGTCCCGGATGGCCCCGATTCGATCCATGTGGCTCCCGCTTGCACTCAAACTGCCAGTCAAACCACCAACACTTCCCTCCCCTATGCTGGGGTTGTGTCTTGCTTCTGCTACTGAAGTTGTATCTAAATGCAAATATTTCAAAGAAATTAGTGTGATTATTAATTTCCCTCTCCTTAGAGTCTGTCGTGATTTTCAGATAGGATCCATTTTCATATAAAGTGTAAAACATACACAGGAATAGAAAAGATGTCTGGAGTCAGGGCCATGTAACTATGGGATAAGAGTAAAGGGAAATACCTCACAGAGCGAAGCTAGATTAAGGACTGGGCCTCAGTTTTAAATGGTCACTACAGGAATCTCTTGGAGGAACTGTGGGTTTGGTTCCAGACCATTGTAATAAAGCAAAAATATCACAATAAAGTGAATCATGAAGTTTTGGTCCTCCTAATGCAATTAAAAGTTATGTTCATACTATATATACTATAGTGAAGTGTGCAATAGCATTATGTCTAAAAATTGTATATACCATTGATTTAAAAAATTTTTTATGGCTAAAAAATGCTAACCATCATCTGACAAGTCAGGTTGCAACAAACTTTCTTCAATTTGTAAAAATAAGTGATGAGCTACAAAATGCAATAAAATGAAGTGCACCTGCACTTTAGAAGAAAATCTAGAAGATTTAAGAATTCTATAAAGAACCTAATTGCTGAAAAATTTAGCTGACTTTGGAGGAAAATTATGTGATGGTTTTCAGTAACCATGTCTCAAGGTCAGTAAGAATGGGTCAAAAGTTGACTTCTGAATATATTCCATAGTTCTGACTGTCTATAAGTTATTATGAGGTCTGATACCATTACATTCCAATCTTCCAGTACTTTTTCACAGGCTTTATACTGGAGAATTTACTTATTTGCTCTAATATTTGAGCTCCTATTTATATAACACAACTCTAAGTGCTGGGACACAGTGACTCAAAGAGACAAACATCTTGCCCTCAAAAGGCTTATGCTCCAATCAGGGAGAGCAATAAATACAGTTATATGGTGATAAATGCTATGAGAAAAAATAAATCAGAATAAAGTGGAGTAAAAGGCAGAGAGAGTGATGAGGAGTGCACGTGTCTGTGTGTGTGAGCCCGCATGCCTGTTTGTTGTTTTGTATAGTGTAATGAGAGAGGCCCTCTCTGAAAAGGAAGTGAAGGAGTGAGCCATGAAATTATCTGGGGGAAGACTAATCCAGGCAGAGGAAACTTCAGGTTTAAAAGCCTACAGGTGGAAGTGTTTGGCACCTCAGCATCAAGGGCAGGAGGTATAAAATAGAGTGACAAGGGGAGAGTTCAAAGCTGCACCTCAGGACAGAACACAGGTGGACTTACAGGCCACAGTAGGGGCTGTGGGTTCCATTCCCTCACCCCTGGTACAGTCAGAAGCACTGAGAGAATTCTGAACATAAGTTAGGTCTAACTAAGGGATCACGTAAGAGGCTACTACTGTAACGAAGGCAAGAGAGTAGTTTGTACTAGTGGGACAGCTTGGACTAGTGGAATAGAGATCGTGAGAAATGGTTGAATTATGGCTAAACATTGAAGGAACCAGCAGAATCTGCTGATGGATCAGACGTAGGGTAAAAAGGGAAAGGGGAGCGTAATCTTAAGTAAGGGTTTTAGCACAGCAACAGCAAGAATAAAGAGACTACTTAATGAGGTAAGGATGACTGAGAGGCCAACAAGTTTGAGAGTGATGAAAGAGTCTGGTTACAGAGAAGTCAAGCTTGCAATTCTTGTTAAGACATTCAAGTGCAGATTAAAGAGAAGAGTTACATGTACAAACCGAAGTTCAGAGGACAGTTCTAGCCTAGATACAAATTTAAGAATCATCTGTCTATATATATTATTTAATAGAGATTACCTAGGGAGTGTGTATAGATAAAGAAATCTGAGAATGAGCCCTGGGAAACTCCAAAATTCAGAGGTTAGGAGAAGAAAATGAATCAGCAAACAAGACTGAGAAGAAGTGGCCACAAGATATGAGAAGACAAGTAGAGAAAATGTTTTAAGAAGCAGGGCATGCTCTACCATGTCAAGTATACTGTCATAGTAAGATGAAAATCAAGAACTGACCACTGTATTTGCTACATGGAGGTGCCTGGTGACTCTGCCTTGGTGAAGTGGGAGAGATGAAATTTTGGACTGGTAGGGACCAAAATCTAATTGGAGTGAGTCCAAGAGAAAATGGGAGGTAGGAAATAGAACATTATCTTTGCACACATGCCTGATTAGATAAACAAGTAAAATAAAGTGAAGTCGCTCCGTTGTGTCAGACTCTTTGTGACCCCCATGGACTGTAGCCTACCAGGTTCCTCTGTCCATGGGATTTTCCAGGCAAAATTACTGGAGTGGGTTGCCATTTCCTTCTCCAGGGGATCTTCCCAACCCAGGGATCGAACCCTGGTCTCCCACATTGTAGGCAGACACTTTACCACCTGAACCACCAGGGAAGTCGGAAAGTAAAAGGTTTGAGGCAACTCTGCTGTGAGCAAGTCTATCAGCGCTATTTTCCCAACACCATTTGCTCACCTGGTGTCTCTGTGTCACATTTCAGACTTTTTCATTATTATTGTATTTGTTATGGTGATCAGTGATTAATGATCTCTGATGTTACTACTGTCATTGTTCTGGGGTGCCATGAACTGTGCCCATATATGACATATATATACTAACAACTAATAAATGTGTGTGTGTTCTGACAGCTCCACTGACGATGGGCTGTTCCCTCTTCTCTCTCCCTTCTCCTTGGCCTCCCTACTCCCTAAGACCCAACAATATTGAAATTAGGCCAATTAAAAACCCTAAATGGCCCTTAAGTTTTCAAGTGAAAAGAACTGCACATCTCTTACTTTAAATCAAAAGCTAGAAGTGATTAAACTTAGTGAGGAACATTCTTCGAACGTCAGAGCAGGCTGAAAGGCTAGGCCTCTTGTGCCATTTACCTAAGCTGTGAACACAAAGGGAAAAGTCTTGAAGGAAATTAAAAGTCCTACTCCAGTGAACACATGAATGATAAGAAAGCACAGCCTTATCGCCGACATGGAGGAAGTTGTAGTATTCAGGCAGAAGATCAAACCAGCCACCACATTCCCTTAAGCCAAAGCCTAATCCACAGCAAGGTCCTGCCTTTAATTCTACAAAGACAGAGAGGTGAGGAAGCTGCAGAAGAAAAGTTTGAAGCTAGCAGTGTTGGTTCATGAGGTTTAAGGAAAGAAACTGTCTCTGTAACATAAAAGTGCAAGGTGAAGCAGAAAGTTCTGATGTAGAAGCTGCAACAAGTTATCCAGAAGATTTAGCTAAGACACTTAAGGAGGGTGGCTACACTAAATAATAGATTTTTAATATAGAGCAAACACCTCCTATTGCAAGAAGATGCAATCTGGGACTCTTATAGCTAGAAAGAAGTCAATGCCTGGCTTCAATGCTTCACAGGACAGGCTGACTCTCTTATTAGGGGCTAATGCAGCTAGTGACTTGGAAGCTGAAACTAGTCATTGCTTATCTACCATTCCAAAAATCCTAGGACCCTTAGGAATTAGGCTAAATCTACTCTGCTTGTGCTTTATAAATGGAACAACAAAGCCTGAATGACAGCACATCTATTTACAACATAAGTTACTGAATATTTTAAGCCCACTATTGAGTCCTACTGCTCAAAAAAAAGGATTGTTTTCAAAATATTACTAGTTCACTGGCAATGCATCTGGTGACCCAAAGCTCTGATGGAGATGTATGACAAAATAAATGTTTTCATGCCTGCCAACTCAACATCCATTCTGCAGCTCATGCATCAAGGGTTCATTTCAACTTTTAACACTATGATTTAAGAGATACATTCTCTAAGGCTATAGATGCCATTCATCAGAAACAACGACTGATTGAAAACCTTCTGGAAGGGATTCACCATTCTAGGTGCCATTAAGAACTTTCACAATTCATGGCAAATGGTCAAAATATCAACATTAAGTGGAGTTGTAAAGAAATAACAAAAAAGTTGATTCCAACCCTCATGGATGACTCTGAGGGGTTAGACTTCAGTGGAGAAAGTAATTGCAGATGTGGTGGAAATTGCAGGAGAACTAGAAGTGGGGCCTGAAGATGACTGAATTGCTGCAAATCTCGTGATAAAACTTTCACAAATAAGTAGTTGCTTCCTATGGATAAGCAAAGAAAGTGGTGTAGAAAGCAATGGATATAGAATATTACATAAACTTAGCTGATGAAGCAGTGGCAGGATTTGAGACGACTGACTCCAATTCTGAAAGAAGTTTTACTGGGGGTAAAATGCTATCAAACTGTACTGCATGTGAAATCATTTGGGAAGGGAAGAAGAGTCAATTGCTACAAAGTTTACTGTTGCCTTATTTTAAGAAATTGCCTCAACTACCCCAAACTTCAGCAACCAGCACCCTGATTAGTTAGCAACTATCAACATCAAAGCAGGACCCTCCACAGGCAAAAAGATTATGACTTGCTGAGGGCTCACATGATGATTAAATTTTTTTTATCAATAAAGTATATTTAAATTAAGATATATATACACTTATTTTTAGACATAATGCTACTGCACATTTAACAGACTATAGTATAGTATAAACATAACTTCTATATGCAGTGGAAAACCCCAGAATTCATGTCTTGCTTTATTGTGATGTTTGCTTTATTGCAGTGGTCTTGATCAGAATGTATAACACCTCCAAGGTATGCCTGTACTTCAATGGAACAACTTCTTTAATGAGAACTGTTGGAATTTAAGGAAAACTTGCACACTTTAAAAAGTGTAACTTATCTTCTACTGGTAGTCTATGATGGCCTTTATATGATTCATTTTTTAAAAATAATGCCTGATTCTTTGAATAACATTAGGTTGAAGGTATTTTCTACTCATTGGGTATCTGCATTTCTTCTTTTATAAACTGCAGTTCTCTTCTATCCTTTTATTATTGATTTGTAATGCTTTACACAAAGTTAAAAGATTAAAAGTCTAGACTTTCTAATATACTAGATTTCTGTTGGAGGTTACAGGTACCCAGAACCATTGCACCCTCTTTCATCCATTCATCTTTCCTCAGCAGCTCTTCTCTGATATACTTCTGGGTGAATACTATTAGGACTAGTAAGAGAGCAAAGCATGTTACCTACAGCCTCCCACTTACACTATTACCACTAGTAAGTACATTTTCTTCCTTTGCTGAAAGGACTTACCTACAGCTGTATTTGTTCCACCAACATTTATATCATTTTCATCATCAAACTCAATCCTTACTCCTTTTCCATTGCCTGCTGAGACTCCACAACCTCCGCTTCGACAGAGAGAAATTGGAACAACACCATAGACATAAGCTAACATAATAGGAACACCAATACCTAAAGAGGAATTAAATTAGTCATTACAATCCAAAAAATAAATCACAGAAACACACATTTTAGAAAGTTTTTCAAGAGAAAGTGTACAGGAGAAAAGTGTTAGGGTTCTGTAACTCTTGACCAAAGCGGATTTACCCAACTATTAAAGGATGCAAGCAGATTCAAAGCTTCTAGCCTATCAGGTGACACACATGAGGTTATATATACAATCTTTCATGTGCCAGGGCTCTAAACTTTCTCTTGGTGGGGAACCATTAGTAATTTACCATCTATCCCCCCAAGGCGAGCCTCTTTAAGTTTATATTACTTTTAACCAATTTCATTACTAAATGAGAGGCTTTTTTTAAAATTTTTTATTTTTTTTAATGAGAGGCTTTCTATAGGCTCAGCTTACTGTCTCTAAATAAAAGTAACTCTCTTACCTTTAACAATAAGATGCTCTGGTTTTCAAAATTCTTCCACAAAACTTTAATTCTACAAAATGTGAGGTAATAGCTATTTTTAAGTATTTCTTACCTACAGTTACTGCAGCTACAACGGGAGACACGATTACGGACAATGTTACACCACCTGCTATGGCCAAATTCCGTTTGTGCTTTGAAACATCCTTGCCTTCATATCGATTGTGAATCTTGAATTAAAAATAAAAATGGGGATGATGGATTAAAGAAAAACCGTATTACATATTTAAATGAAATAGACCTACATTTGCTGGAAGTGTAAAGTGATTTATTTACCTTATAACTTCATAGTCAAGTGTCCAAATTCAAGGTAAATATATTATTGTTCTTAAATCATACTCTTATAATTTGCTCTTTATTAATAATTTGTTTACATAAAACAGTGATTTAATAGATTTTACTTTGTGTTTATTTTTAAACAGTCTTGAGTAAAAGTAGTCCTTATAATCTTATTCAGGAACAGGATAAATCATGTTTTGAACAAAGATAACATTAAGAACATTATTTTCAACATAGTTAGGAGCTGGATATTTGACCAATAGGATTTCTAACAAATGTATCATTCCACCTTCTAAATAAGCATCCCTAAGTAAAAACTGGTTCCTGGAAGAGGTTTACACAGTTTTTGGAAAAAAGAAAAGAACCTGACCTTAAAAAGCAGTACTAATAAGTTAACATCACTAAAAAGAATGAATTTTTTCTCAGATCCCTTTTTATGAAGAAAAATATTATCAAATGACTCAGGATCCTGGACTCTTATTTATAGCTCAAAATAAGGGGTACAGAGAAACAAAAAGAACAAATAATCCTGCCAGAGGACAGCAGTCCGATTTACTTGGCATCTCTACAGAGTATAGGTGTTACTAATAAACAGAACTTAGTATCACCATGGAAGTTGATTGTGAGATATATGAACTTCAGGAAATAGCTCAGTATCTCTGTTCTCATGGTTTCCAAGGGCTAACTAAAACTAATAAAGTACATTCCCCTCTGTTTCAAGACAGATTCAAAACAGCCTCAAAAGTGTACAGGCAGTCTCTAAAGTAAAATACATGACTTAAAAACAGTATTACAGATGAAGCAAAATAACATAATCTATCATTATCCTGTGGTTATTCTGAAGGCTGTAAAGTACAATGAATCTTGTGGGATGTTTTAATCAGTGAGAAGGCTGGGGTGGGGAGACAGGCAAAGCATGCATGGACAAGGAACATTTCTATATTCTAGTCAGAATTCCGTTTTCCAGAATGAACTGTATGTCTCAAGGAATGGGCCTCCACACTTCCCGAACAATCCTTACAGGCAGAGATGGCAAAATTTCCCATGGCACCTTTCATTTTTCTTCAGAATTCCTTGCCACTCCCATTCCCAGAAAACTTAGCACTGAAGCAGAAAAAAGCCAAAGCTAAAAACTGATGGAACAGACTTGCAAAAGCAGGCAGCAAGTATCTGAGTCTTCCAGAAAATTCTGCATCTTCAAGCACTAATGTTCAATTACAGTGATCATATCACCCTATTAACTTCTGGCTCACTTTTTCCTGTTTTACTATTTTGTGCCACATTTTCTATTACTATTGTAAAAAAAAAAAAAAAAGCTCACTTTTAAGTACTTTATCAATTTAATAGGTTTTCCTGGGCTGGTTTGTATCCCTAAACACCACAGAGAACATGATTTCAATGGAAAACTAATGCATCAACTTGCAATCATTTGAGGACACATTTGAAAAAAGGAGACTTGTTACTGCACCTAAGACTGAACAATGAGGTAAATAATCTCTCCTCTATAAATTATTTGTAGGTATGTACAGTACAACAGTCTCTCTTCCCCTTCTACTTCAAAGTATCTGAATAGTTTTGTTTTTAGCAAAACCTTGCTTTGGACAACTCCATGAAAAATTAAAATCTGTTACTATGTTTGGGACTTATAACAATTAAGTTTAGTTACTTAAAATCTTCTGAAATAAACATTTGGCCCATAAATATCTCTGTTTGGCTTCAGTTTCAAGCTAATCAAAAAATAACACGTACTATTATTTCTGACTATAAAAGTAAGTATGTTGAACATTACAAAAAAAAATTTTGGTTGTTTATGAAAGAGGATTAGCCTTGTCTTGAGTTTTGTTCCAAAAGTCAGAACTAGAATCAAATGAAACAATTTAAAGGAAAATGGATTCTGACTCAACGTAAGAATTTTCAGTACAGCTCCCTGAGGGCACAATGGGCTGTCGGTGGTTGCCCCACTACTGAAGTGCTCAAATGTATCAGGGATCTCACATGAAGAATCTGGGCGTCTCGGTTTAAATCAGCTCTGCCTCTTCCTGTGTAACTTAAGATAAATTACATAATTTTTTCAAAACTTCAATATTCTAACATTAATTGAGGTTAAAATAAGTCAAAGTATATAAAACATCTACCACACAGTTAAAACTCAACAAATGTTAGTTCCCTTTTTAAAAATTCCTGTACTTTGTTCTGCTTGGTGCAGGGTTGGGATTAGATAATTTCTGAAGTTACTTCTCAATTCTGAGATTCTACTAATTTAGGGAGCAGCAGAGTTCTTAAGCACTTCATAAATTATCCTTTTAACCTTTCAATAAAAATCATTTGCTTAGCTAATGAAGTATAATTCATTACTCAGGACAGTGGCAAATACTGGGCATTCAGACTTTCACAAAATGATTGTAATCTACAAAACTGCATATTTACTAATAGCAATAAAAAAAAAAAACTTTGAAGTTGGAAATGACTCAGGAACTGATTATTCTTTTGCCTTGAAGGCATAAATTATTTATTTATTAACTTCATAGAGCTGAGTGTACAAGGACACATGCATGAGAAAAATGTCAGGTGTTTATCCTTCAATATTTTATATGTAAAGTTTATAATGCAAATGTACTGAATTTTTCCGATTCAGGTAGATAATTTTCAAGTAAGTTTACTTTTCATGCAGACATACAAGCTTGCCAAACACTGAAAATTATTATCGTATGAAAAAATAGTAATTATTTTATACTTAAGATGCTAAAAATGACCTTTCAAAACAAACACAAAGCAAAACCATCAGTCTTAAATCTAAAGATTAAAAATGAGATAATAAATTAACAAGGAGTCAAGCATTTTACCTTCCGGCCCACATACACAGGAATGCCAATGATCATGGCAGGGATAGCAATGCCAGCTATTAAGGCAATTCCTACAGGAGCACCAACAAGTGTGCCCAGCTGCCACAATATTTTCTTCTTTCGGCTCCAGGGTTTCTTCCCCCAAAAAGTACATCCTGATGGACTAAAGGAAAAAATTACAATGTAAAGTAACTGCTGCAAAACATCACAGTAACAACTTACTACAGTACATTCAGCAATGACTATAAAAATTCTCAAATTTAGGAATGAGGGGTTTTTCCCCTTTCTTTGAATTCTGGGTTTATTAAAAGCTAAAAAAATCAAACTAAAAAACCACCATTAATTATATCAAAAGGATACTAATAGCTGGGATTCAGGTTAAACACTCATTCCTTGTCTCCTATTAGCCTCAAAACCTTAGGTTTGTCTTTGAAGAGTAAATTAATGCAAAATATGCTTATTTTACCCCTGTTTTAAGACACAAAATTATCTGACTATATCATAAATTCACTGTGACCTAAATGAGGAAATTTATATATGAGAAAATAAAATGGAAATATTTGTGATCTAGCATAATTAGATATTAAATGCTAACTTTCTAGTTTAACAGAGACAAAGCCAGGAATTTCCTGGAGGTCCAATGGTTAGGACTTGGTGAGTTCACAGACCCAGGTTCAGTTCCTGGTTGGGGAACTAGATTCCACAAGCTCTACAAAACAAAACACAAAGCCAAAAAAAAAAAAAAAAAAAATTTCCATTTCCTATTTTTGACTATTAATCTCAAATGACTGACATAATAATTGGCTTCCTGTTAAATTTAAGTAGCTAGAATAAAATAGATCTCTTTAAGTAATACTAAGGATAATGCTTAAAAAAAAAAGTCTTTTTGTCTTACAATATAAAATTTTATTTAGATGTAAGTAGTCCCTTCTATAAGCTTACCTGAGATAATGTAAATCTGAGATTTCTTTCATACACAACCAACAAAACTCACAACCACAGACAGCACATGTCATGTGATTACAGCTCCCATCATTCATCTTTATTATATAAGCAGCACATCGTGGACATGGTTTTATATCATCAGCTGTTAGGAAAACATATGTTTAGTACATAAAACTTGTCTAAAAATAACAATTTCTAGTAGATAATCAACTGTAGCATTGCCAAAAAATCTTAACGTGTATAGTTTGTTAGCTGATAGCTTTAGCCTGCTATTTTCAGTATATAAAGCACTTTTTTTTCCCCTTTCAAGAAAAGGAACAATTTTACATTAAATTTTCAAATTGTAAACATTTTTCAAACAGCAGCAGAACAATGAGAATGAAGAATAGCAAAATAATAAAAACAAAGAAATGAGAACCAAAGGCAGCTCTAGGCAAACTGGAAACTATATAAAGTTTGTCTTTGTCCTTCCCCCACAGCTGTCTTCAATGAGCAGCACTTCAAGTTCTAGAACTTTTCTAACCATCTCCACTTAAATATAATGTAGATATCCCCCAGTCACTTAGTGGTAAAGAATCTGCCTGCAATGCAGGAGAAACAGGAAATGTGGGTTCGATCCCTCGGTTGGGAAGATCCCCTGGAGAAGGAACTGGCAACCCACTCCAGTAGGAATTTCTTGCCTAGGAAATTCCACGATAGAGGAGCCTGGCCACGCGGTCGCAGAGAGTCAGACATGACTGAGCAACTGAGCACACGCCTAAGTAGCTAAAGGCTATAAACAGTAAGGCATGCCAGGATAGCTTTAGCTGACTCTACACAGGACAGTTCAGGTATATTTGGCTCTTCCCGGAACTGCTTCTCAAACAATACCTACAAATTATTATTAATACCTTTGGAGTTCTACCCTAAAAACTTCAAGAAAGGAAATAAAGTGAATCAGTGAACGAGTAAGAAAATCCATGTCCGTTATATAAAATATCAAGTGTTGAATTTAAAGTTTATTTAATTTTAAATTCAACTTTAAATATTGAGCAAGACTTCTTTTTCTAGTAGCATAAAGTACATGACTCTTTTAATATGCTGCGGTAGGAATATAAATTATTTTCTTAATAAATTTCTGTATTTTCCAAGTTTTTTCCTTTAATAATCAATGAAAAAAGTAAATATTTTTCTAAAAATGATTGACGTTCCAATAAACAGTGAAAATTCTATGAATGTACGATGGTCAGACTTTTTCTAATTTTTGAGATTTATGCTGTATGTTTTGCTCATGTATAGATTTCCAGGCAACTTTAAATTTCTAGCCAAAGACATAAAGTTTTCTTAGTGTACTCCCCACCAAGGTATGATTTTGAATCCCTGATCCTGGAATTGGTAATATCGAGAAATAAAAATTGTATTTTGTAGAACATGTAAATGCAAAGGATCCAAAAAATACTATTTAAAATCTGTAACTGTGTGATATTAGTACAATAAGAAATAATCTCTAAGGAATATTAGTATTTAAAATAATTGCTAAGCTTTGCATAAAACACCTTTATTTTAAACAACAGTTTGGGACCATCTTCAGCTATCAGTTATATAAATCATCTGTGACATTTCTTTTTTTCCTTTCTATTTTTGGACAATAAAATTTTTCCAACTTAATACCACTTTCTTCTACAGAAAAAAATGAGTGCTTCTGGGACAGAAATGCTAACATGTAAAACACAATTAAAAGGAGACCAGGGACTGAATATTTATTGCATTTTTGAGTAAAATAACAGGTGTTCTATATGTGTCAAATATTTTACTAGAAGAAGTTAGATGTAAATACCTGCTGCTCCAGACTCTTGACTATAACTAATGGATGAAGAACGTATAGTTCTTAGACGTAAACTCTGAGCTCTCTCCTGTCGAGCAGCATCACAGGTCTGATTGGGGTGCCAAATCTGCTTACAGTGGTAGCAAAACTCTGTTCCACAGCCTTCTCGCCCACAAGTTAATTTTGGACAGCTAGCACATCCAAATGCTATCACAGCATACCTGTAAAGAATAAGAAAAATGATTTAAAATTGTGATGTAAAATAAGAGATATTCATTAAGTAAAAAAATTATCCAATTTAAATGCTATTCTTGAAAAAGTTTTATATTTATGCATGAGCTAACAATCAAAAGCTCATCAAACCTAAACCTATCTTCCTATCAATATAAAAATGGGGATAAATAAACAGTTCACAATAGACATATAAATGGCTAAAAAACATTGTTAAAGTTTAATTTTCAACTTTTAACTAGGACACCAAACTGTATATATAGCCTATTCCTAATTTTATAAAAATTCTATTAAATTAGCATTGTATGCACACAGAAAAGACTAAAAGTACACCAGTTTCCCTGGTATTAGGGTTTTTTCTTCTATATATATATTTATGAGGCCAATTCATACATTTTGTGAGTATCTTGTATTTATGCATAAATTCTTCATATTTTTGTTTTTAAGATGCATGGCAGTAGTCGTCTCTGGTACCAATTAATTTCTCAATTCTCGATCAGGAAACGTGTTTTCTTTTTTTTTTTTTGCTGCAGATAAAAGACTGAGAACAGCAGATTCGTGACTAATATCTCTTCTCTGAGTTAAAATTTTTGGCACTTTAAGAATTTCTGACTTAAATAAATTCTGGGCACTCTTAGATATTTATTCCAGAGAATGAAAACTTACATTTATACAAAAGCCTATACACAAATGTTTACAGCAGCTTTGTCATAGTTCCAAACTGGAAACAGCCCAGATGTCTTCAACAGATGATGGTTCAACAATCTATGACACACATATATATAATGGGATAGTATTCAACAACAAAAGTGTTCATACACTTAATAACTTGGATCAATCTCTGGGGTATTATGTGGAGTCAAAAAAGTCAGTCTCAGAAAGTTATATACTTACGATTCCATTTATATAACATTTTTGAAATGACAAATTTTAGAAATGGAAAAGAGATCTGTTGTGGCCAGAAGTTAGAAATGGGGTGGGGGCAAGGAGTGGGCAGAAGCAAGGTGCTGTATTTAAAAAGCAAGATCTTTTAATATAAGCAATCCTTTTGTGATGGAATTGTTCAATACTTTTGACTATGGTGGTGGATACACAAACCTACAGGTGATAAAACGATATATAACCAAATACACAAAATGAGTACAAGTAAAACTAAGGAAACTTGAACAAGAAGATTGTATCAATATTGATATCCTGGTCACGATGTTGCTATATAGCTTTGTAAAATTATACCATTGAGGAAAACTGTTCGAAGGATATATAGAATATCTCTGTATTATTTCTTACAACTACACGTAAGTACAATCAATTATCTACACAGACCTTTCAATTAAAGGAGTGTAGAGCTTCTGGTTCTCTTTGAAAGAAAACAAGTCATCTATACATAAGAGGCTTTTGTAAATATCAAACATTTTTGCCTAGAAATTTAGGGAAGTTTTCAGGGCTTTTCTTGTTACTGGCAATAAAATTTAAATACTAGCTGTAACAGAGATTTTTATTGAATTTCAAGATAATCCATTAAATTATGCAAAATATTAAGTGTAAGGAAGCTTCTCTAATTTTGGACCTCTTACCCCCTTAGAATTTCACCTTTAAACTTAAATTTTATATATTAAATTCTAATTTATTTCTGATAGGCCATTTACTATAATTACCATCATCTATCATAAACATGTTCAAACATGAATGAATTGAAGCAGTTTAAATCAACACAGGGTAATCTAGGAAAATTTTGTTTCCCTGAGCTCTAAGATTTCCCTGAGGATTTATTTCACTACAGTCTCAATAAATAGAAAACAATTCTTCAAAGACTCTTTATTTTCTCCCAAGTTATAACCTATATAACAGTAGTAATTTTGGTGAAAATGGTATTCACTTCTAAATCTCTTCTCTACCCTAATTTTTCTTGGAAAAAAGGTGAGAAGAGGAGGGACAGAATGTGTGTGTGGCACAATGTAAGACCAACTATTTTTTTAAGTCAATCACAATTTACGAAAGCAGAAGAAAATTTTAGACCACCAGACTCCACTTCTGCCACTTATTGCTTGTATAAAAGTTACACATTACCCGCCTACAACTATGTTTTCCTGAGCATCCAGCAGGGATTCACTCAAGTGTGGCCTCCCTGGTGGCTCAGTGGCAAAGCATCTGCCTGCAAATGCAGGAGACACCAGTTCGACCCTTGGGTTGCGAAGATTCCCCTGGAGAAGGATATGTCAACCCACACCAGTATTCTGGGAAATTCCATGGACAGAGGAGCCTGGTGACAAAAGAGTCACAAAAGAGTCTGACACGACTTAGTGACTAAACAACAACAAAAGTCTGGCTAAGCCTCAGTATTCAGCCAAAAACAGCTTCAGCTTTGGCCTTGACCTTTTAGAAGGCCAAATAAGCAAACGACTGCTTCAGTGACATTTCTAGTACCTCTGCAATTAGAGGATGAGAAGGTTGGATGGCATCACCGACTTGATGGACACCAGTTTGAGCAAGCTTCGGGAACTGATGATGGACAGGGAAGCCTGGCGTGCTGCAGTCCATGGGGTCGCAAAGAGTCAGACACGACTGAGCAACTGAACTGAATGACCATTATCATTTCTACATCAATATAAATAATGTATGTCATTTAAACATTAATATGTGAATATTCATTTTTAAATAAATGCTGAAAGCCTTTCTAAGACCATAACACAGTAGAAATGTAATTGCTTTAAATGATGAAATTTTACTGGACGACTTAAGTATATAAAGGTACACTGTGCTGCAAGAAGAAAATGTAACAATATTTAGTGATGACTGTGAAAGCCAAATTTAGATACAAACTTAAGAGCTTTCAAATTATTAAATAGGGAAACAGATTTATAGTAAATATGAATGTCAAGATTGCTTTAATTAGATAAACTTAGGAAGAAAATATTCTTTCTGAGCAAACAAACATTTATAAAATATATGAAGTTTAGCAGAAATTGGGCTAAATCATAATTCTAACCTTTGTAGAGGCCATTCAGTATATTAGTATATCACTAAGCAGAACTTTTAAGAACTGACAATTTCTAATTAGTGATGTAGGCTACCTAGAGATAGCCTTTCAAGAAAAAGCCTTTTTTGGGAATTCTTCATATCATGATGAGAATTAAAAGCAGAATGTCAACTTTGCCATTTCAAAATTTCACAAGTTCCAAAATCTAGCAAAATATCCATAAAAACATGCTAGAGCAAGAAAAGTGAGGACTCAAAAACATAAGTTTCTTCTCAATAATCAAATTTCCAAACAGCTTTATAAATTCCTTTAAGATGAAAATTTCTTAATAGTTTTGAGTCTAAAGACCTAAGTTTGTTGAAAATGACTGCTCATAGATAGTGTATGTCTATTTAAATATTAAAAAATATGCAGTTATTATCAGGAGAAAACTAACAGCTGACATGTTAGAATAATAATCAGTCCTAGCATTATGATGTCAAACATTTAATATCTGATCGCTAATTTTAAAAAATTATTTCTTTGAATTTTATATTTATTCTTGTATCTCAGAAGTTCATCCCTGGTGATATTACACTTTGGCTGAGATGAACACTGATTAAACATCTGGCCATTTGACTTCTGTGAAAATGCAGGTTTTTATGTATTTCAAAAATTAGGACATAATAACAAGAAAGAGTTATTGTATTTATGAAAAACAACGAGTGTGTGGAGGGAGGGAGGGTAAGGAAGAGAGGAGAGAGAGGTGGGGGAGAGGAAAAGAAAGGAATAGTTATAACACATCATATGGACTCAAATGTTAGAACTAAAGTACATCAAAATTGTTTCATGCTACTCTGCAGCATTCTCTTAAATAGAAAAGCTAAGGTATTCCTAGTGCATAACTAAACATTTAAGTCCCATTCAATCTAAACGAATTCCAAAGAAAAACGGGATTGCCTTTAATAATACTAACCAAATATTTTCATGACTGAATTCTGATAACCATAATAGTTAGGGTATTTTGTCTAGAAAATTTTTCTTATGCTAATAATTACTGAGTGTTTACTATGTTAAGTATTCCATCTTCATACATATTCAATCCTAATAGTAACTGTTAAGCACATTTTATCATTTTATTGTATAATATACCAAGGAATTAAATGTATGAAGCATTCACATATTTTGAAAACAGAATGACAGGACTCTTGAAGATGATTTTCATTGTGTGGGAGCCACACTTTTTTTCCACTAGAAAATAACTTTCAATTATAATGGAAGCAAATGGTAAAGCATTTGCTTTAAAGAAAATTTTCAATGCTCTAGTGCATTATGTATTATTTGTGAAAATAACATGCTCAGCAGTTAATAGAAATAACTGAATAATATTAGTTAACCAACTAAAGATCTCTAGCTTAAACAGTACTCAAACCTTGGTTCAGAAGACAGTTCTATTTCCTTTTATGATTCCTTATTTAACTCAAGTCTTACTTTCCATCTCTATTTTTCAGCTAAAGGTCTCCAGTTACTTGAAATGCTTAAACCTTTCTACTTAGCAGGAGAAAGTGGGGAAGAGAGAAGGGGACTGAAACAGAAGTTTTTCCAGAAATATTTTCTATTTGTTGGATTACTAAAGGCGATCCATATTAAGAAAGAACTGTGGTAAAGTTATATTTTTTTTACTACAGGATTTGCTAAGATAATTTTTTCTTTATTTTTTGTTATTTTAATTTTCACAACGTGTGTTGGTTTCTGTCATGCAGAACAATGTGAATGAGCCATAACCACACATATACACCCTCCTTCGTAAGCCTCCCTCCCTCACCCCCACCCGACCTTTAGGTCATCACAAGCACCAGACTGGGCTCCCAATGTTTTACAGTAATTTCTCCCCAACTCTCCCCTTTACACACGATAGTGTGTATGTGTTGATGCTACTAACATACCAATCGTGTACATAAATAGTAAACATTATTTTCTAAATTTATTTGACCAAGACATCTATTTCCTGGGAGTGTTTCACAGTACTAGAGT